CTGCAGTAATAGCCTTTGTGTTGGGATGAGCAGCTTTTCATTCATTGCTCATGACCCTTGGTGGCTGGTTTGCCAAGGACGTCTCACTTAAGGCAAATTCTGGTGTTTTCCAGTGACAAATGTGTAATTTTATTTTTTAAATCCGAATGGTTTGTATCTTCTGTGTCTGCCTACTGGTTGTTAAATGGAGCAGCTGGGGCCTCGTTGGCAGGTACTGCTGTCTCATTCCCCGTCTCACGGTCTGAATTCTGCTCTTTCTGTCTACGGAGGTTTCGATTTTCCTCTTATTGTGACATTTCCATCTTAATCTTTTAAAGCAGTCTGTGATAGTGGTGTACGAGTGCCTGCGCTTCAGGGCTGGCCCGTCTTTTCCAGAAAGGGCCGCTGTGTATGCAGATTTCGTCGTAACTCCCTAATAAGATTAGTAATTAGAGGACTGATTGGCGGAAGAGTCCTCACACCTGGGTTTGAACAGCTGACCTACAGGTTATCCCAAACCTGCATACACACGGGCCCTTTGCGGATACGATTGGCCACCGCTGGTGCATGTGCTCTGTGACTGGCTGCCCCTGCGGTGGACCCCCACCTTGCGGCCTGTGTTCTCTGCAGCCCTGTTTAATGTCACAGTGAGCCTTTACTGTTCTAGTGACCTGACTACTAGGCTGGTTTCCATTTTGCCATTGACCCAGAATGTTAGCCACACAGCCAAGCTAACCTCAAACTAAAGGACTAAAGAGGTCTGCTTCTTCCTCTGAACATTAGTGTTGTGTGCCTAGACAGCCTAAAAGCATGGTGTTGCGTGTTATTTAATTTATGTATGGGACTTAAGAACGGTGCAGTTTATGCTGTTCTGTTCATGTTAAGTGTGAATTCCTTTGAAACCTTGGAGTGACTTAGGGTTTTTGACAGTTCTTTGACTAGGCCGTGTTTTTTAGACTAAGAACGGGGAGCGATTCTGAACCACCAGGTCTTCATGTTACTGCGCAAATTTTACAACAGAACGGTATTTTTATTTGTTTGCTTTTTAAATGCAATATATTTTCAGTCCTACATGGGTTCCAGTAAGGTGGGCAGTGGTGGCTTGATGGTTAGGGAAGTGCACCTGTGATTGAAAGATTGCTGGTTCAAATCCCCGACCAGCAAGGCACCACTGCGGTACCCTGAGTGAGGTACCACCCCCAAGCACTGCTCCCCGGGCGCTGAATTAGCTGCCCCCTGCTATGTCACAACATCAAATATGGGTTAAATGCAGAGGATACATTTCGTCGTCGTGCACTGTGTGCTGTGGTGTGTCAACAATGACTACTGATCTAATTCTAATATATTTAACTTCTTTCTTTTCCCTCCTAGAAACCCAGAAATTATTTCCATGTACGTTTTCCATTTTAAGAAGTTGCTGCAAAGCCTCACACTTGCTGTGTGTGAGAAACAAAAACGTTTCCTGCAGTTTCTCATTGACCTATGAGCTGGTTACACAAGACAGTTAATATGTAGACCAGTATCCTTCATATATTCATTTTATAAATGATCAGCTCTGTGCACCTTGAGCTCACTGGCATGTCTAACCAGGACAGTCTGCTGTACCTGGTATCTGATGTACTGTCTTTTGGAGCTCATGAGGTACCTGGTACCCAGTGTCCTTGGTTCCTGGCCATGTAAGGGTGACATCACCTTGGTGCTGTGGGGGTGCCCTGACAAAATAAGGCCGTGCCTCTTCATGGTGGGAGTGCACCCTGTCATTCAGGTTTGGGAAAGCAGCCATTTTGGAGCTGCAGGTGCCCTGGGAAGGGCCCCAAGTCTCCCCTGGGAAGGGCCCCAAGTCTCCCCTGGGAAGGGCCCCAAGTCTCCCCTGGGAAGGGCCCCAAGTCAGCCCAGAGAAAGTTTCAGAAGTGCCCCCGCTGAGCATGTCACTTCCTTATAGCAGCTTCTGTAGCTGACACCCCCCCCCAGCTACCGACATCACACTGCTGCCTCTGGGGCATCATGCTGTGTGCTGGATGGTCTCTGCTCAACTCTGCAGCTGGACAGCAGAGGGAATGGGAAGTGAACCTGGTGTCCAAGTGTGTTTGCACGCGCGCCTTCTGGACACCTGAGCTCAGCGGCCTCGCACGGCAGGGCAGTGAGCGTGACCCTGATCCTTTGCTGCATGTGTAGCTCTCCCTGAACATGGGCTCAGTGTAAAGACTGGAGTTTCTGAGATTCTGATTCTACAGTCTTTTGGTTTTTGACCTGGATCAGTCAGTAAATCAGCTCCTATTTTCTGTTTGGTTGCGTGTTTCAAATCAAGCAATTGAAGCACTTGATTGTCATCGTCTAACAACAAAATTGCTTTCATGACATGATATAAATGATATTAAGTATTTAGGATAATTTTATTCATTTAGTTGGCTAATGGTTTTTTGCAGTGTCAGTATAAGCTTTGTATGGAAGCAGTGGTCCTCCCAGTCTGGCCTGTATGGTGAAGCGTGATGCCATTCAGCCAGTGTGTCAGCATTCAGTCATGTCATTAAGCAGCACAGCTGCTTTCTGTGCCCCTCTGCTGCTTAATCTCCCACTGAGGTCATCCTGTCCGGTACAGTCACTGAACGTTGGCTGGCCGGTGCAATTGGGCGTCCACATCCTCCCAGAATTCCTCTGCTTTGGCCTCATGCATCCGTTTCGCTGTAAGTCAGGGTGTCTGTCTGTTGTAGGCAGCTACTCATAGCGACTCCAGGTTTGAGAGTTTTAATTTTGAGTTCTTTTATTAAGCTGTTTAAGAACATCATCTGACTAGCTGATGACCACACCAACAGGCTCACAACTGGCAATCAGTGAGTTGGACGCACGCTGAGTTTGCCCGGAGCATCTCTGATGTTCTGCATCTTTAAAGTGGGGAAAAAGCCTGACTGTTGTTCTTATTAGTCTTGTGCATTATGATGTGACACTCACCTTCCACCTCAAAGTAGATGTGCAGCCATAGATTGATTAGCAATTTATATATTATTATGTTTATATAGATGAGTGCATTCACGTTATACGCCCTGCTCATAGGATGGCCAGCAGCATCTGCATTATAAGTCCTTGTCCTTAAGCACTGCGCTGCCTGTTTCTCTTAATGAATGGTTTATGAAATGCTTACCGATATTTCAACTTGAGTTCCTCGTGTCCTTTACATTCAGCGCCTGCTGCCTCTGACTCTAGAACTCTGATCAATGTATTATCAATGATCAATGATTATTATTAGGGCTGAACGATTTGAGGAATATATCTAATCACAATTTTTTTCTGACCGATATTGCGATTTGATTTGTGGTGTTTTTTTTCCAAGTCAAGCTTCAGTTTATTATAAAGTGTGTAATAGATTTAAAACATGATGCATCATTACCACATGAGGTACCTTCGAAATATTAACTGATCTAAATTCTAATGCAAGGATGAGAACTTAGATACACGTATGAAATTCTTCCAACACGTACCTGTGACTTTTAACCATTGAGTACATACCTCAGGTCTTTAGTGGTCTGATATACACATATTTAAAAATTAAGCCGCAAGTAACCATAACTATGCAAACCATTAGTGAATACCTGATTCCTGAATATTAAGAACCGTTTCTAAACAAACTAAACGTTGCACATTGTCATCCTGTCGTATGTTGGCACTGTTCACAGATTATGCCACATACTCTGCATCTGCAACAATTTACTATAAATTTAAGGCAAAATATCTTTAAATTGTTGTTTTATGGTCAGGCGACCCAAACATGGTAAAGTGATTGCATTTTTACATGCACATTTTAAGTGCTGTGTTTGCAAACAGTGCTCGACTGCTTTTTTTATCCTTAGTAAAATAATAGTGTTTTCTGCAAGTCCCATGTACATGAGGGTTAATTTTAACAGAACCAATCAAAAACAGCTAACAGTTACCTGGAGGATGGGCTCCCCCTTTGAGTCTGGTTAGGGTTAGGGTTCCCTCTGCTGCCCCCTGGAGGATGGGCTCCCCCTTTGAGTCTAGTCCCTCCCAAGGTTTCTTCCTTCTAGGGAGTTTTTCCTTGCCACTGTCACCTATGGCTTACTCACTGGGGGCTTTGGGCAGGGATGCTGTAAAGCGCTTTGAGACGATGTAATGTTGTGATAATGCGCTATACAAAAATAAATTTGTTGTTGTTAAATAAAGTAATAGTAATAAAAATGAAACAATTCCATTAAGCAAAAACAACAGGGATAACACAACTATTAAAATGACCTTTCTGTAAACAATCTGACCATGAAATAGGTAGATGATTCACTTGCATCTCAGCAGCGGAATCAATATTTTTTCGCACCGCAATTGTAACGTTTTATGTGTTTTGTTTGTGGGTGTATACACAGTGGCCTTGGACCACTTCTGATTGGTGAGCATGACTGGCATGTGAGGAGCACAGCACTTCTGATTGGTGAGATTGACTGTCACACAAGGAGGATGGCTTGAATTTGTAAAACTGTTCTCACAACGGTTTTAAACCCTAGGGCAGAAGTACTATATTGTGCATATCCTCAATCACAGCCTTTGCGATTTGCTAATTGCGTTGTTTCAAATCACGATTTTGATTTGAAATTGATAAATCGTTCAACCCAATTTATAATCGTGCATACTTCATACTGCTTGGTATTCCTTTGGTTTCTCAAGAAGCCTCCGTTAACAGTTTGTGACCAGTGTTACTGAATTGTGTAACTGGAGCTGTGTGTTTGATTTTGCAATTAAACCGTGTAAGAATGTCACTGTGGGCCATCTGCTGCCCTCTGGTGTCAGGTTGGTGTCATTCAGTGACAGGTGGCTGTGATGCTGGGCCTTTCATCTCCCCAAAGCCCTGCTGGCTTTTCTTCAACCTGAATAAAAATTTATTTGCATGTATGAATAACTATCAACAGCAGGAGGACTCCCAAGCGCAGAGCCGTGCCCCCCCTGCCATTCCTTCCATAGCCCGGCATGATCTGTGTAATGGCCGAAGCGTAAGGTGATTGGTGTCCCTCTCCCTGCAGATGTCTCTCCGGCAGAGCAGGAGAAGCTCTTTGTGCAGAAGCTGAGGCAGTGCTGCGTGCTGTTCGACTTCGTGTCGGACCCCCTGAGCGACCTGAAATGGAAGGAGGTGAAGAGGGCGGCGCTCAGCGAGATGGTGGAGTACATCACGCACAACCGGAACGTCATCACGGAGCCCATCTACCCTGAGGTGGTGCACATGGTGAGTCAGTACAAGGGCGCCTCGGCCGACCGCGGCAGCACTCAGCAGCGGCTAAATTAATATCTTGTTAGTTTTTGTTTGGTTTTGTTTTGTTTGTGTTTACATTTGGGGCCCATCAGTGAGACAAAAGCAATTAGGTAACAAGAAGGCTGTGTAGCGCGTTAATGACATTGCTGTCACTGCTGAGTCTCCACGGGCTATTTTTTGTCCCCCACCCACCTAGACCACGGGATCTGCTTTGATCTGTTGAATATCTGCATGAGAATAAGCCTGGTGCAGCTTTCTTTTCCCTTCCCTCTTTATAAATACACCTTACAGTCCTATGCTTTTGTCTTTAGAGGTCGATGTAGCCCAAGTGAACAGTTTTTTATAGTTTCTTTGCTAAGTGAGCAATTAATTCTTCCTCATGATGTCTGACGTGTTGCTTTATTTTTTTTATCATTCTCTATGTGGCAAACAGGGGAAAACATCTATTGCATATGAATTCAAAATCATTTTATTTCGTTTGAGTCTCTGAAGATAGACAGATGACTGCATTTTGATGACGGTGTTCAGCCATTTAATTTAATTATTTTATTAAATGCTATCTTCCAAGGTGGGCAGTAAATTTTATGTTTTTCACTTAGCAAATTTGAAATTTATATAAAAGATTTTAGGAGTTTGGTCCCATAAGCTTAAAGCTGGGCCCCTCTGTGAAGGTGCTGAGAGTTTGCAGCATCACTTCGCCATGTTGCCTCTCATTGTTGTCGTTGCCGTTTCCTGTCCCTTTGTCCCTCTTCCGCTTCAGTTTGCTGTGAACATGTTCAGGACTCTGCCGCCGTCATCCAATCCCACGGGGGCAGAGTTTGATCCAGAGGAGGATGAGCCGACGCTTGAGGCTGCCTGGCCACACCTGCAGGTATGACTGACTAACAATAAATCTGGGTTGCTGTTAGTAGCTTATGATAGGAGTGCGATGGACGTCAGATGTGCACAGCTTTACAGTGGTGATATTTATAATGATCTCAAAGGCTGTGCTACATAGATTGTATTTCAGCGTGTGTATTCATTGTTTTTGTACACTTCTTCCCAGCTCGTATACGAGTTCTTCCTTAGATTCTTGGAGTCCCCAGACTTCCAGCCAAACGTAGCTAAGAAGTACATCGACCAGCGGTTTGTCATGCAGGTAGGAGACCTCACCCCTGCGTCACCAGTGTGGCAGTGAGGATATACACCAAAACAAGCGCCCCACTTTCTCTCTCTCTCTCTCTCTCTTCTTCCCTCCCCAAACAGCTGCTGGAGCTCTTTGACAGCGAGGACCCCCGGGAGAGGGACTTCCTAAAGACCACGCTGCATCGTATTTACGGCAAATTCCTGGGGCTGCGTGCATACATCAGGAAACAGATCAACAATATATTTTATAGGCAAGCCTTGCCATGCGTGCTGCTTGTAGACTTCTGAGGAACTCCTTTTGTAATTATATTTTTAAACGACTTTTTAGTCTTTCATGTATTTAGAGCCTGTGCATTTTTTTACCCTTCATTTCATTCATACATCTGACAGTTTTATCCGAAGCCGCTTTTAATGGAGTGAAGGGTTACGGTTTGTGTTTCTGTCTGTCTGTCTGTCTGTCTGTCTGTCTGTCTGTCTGTCTGTCTGTCTGTCTGTCTGTCTGTCTGTGTGTCTGTGTGTGTGTGTGTGTGTGTGTGCGCATGCGCGCCGCCTTGGGTTCAAAACCACAACTGTCGTTTGATCAGTGCTCTCTTTTCTTTTTTTGGACACCTTGGGAAAACTTTATTTTTCAATTTTATTTCCATAGGTTCATTTACGAGACGGAGCACCATAATGGAATCGCAGAGTTATTGGAGATACTGGGCAGGTGTGTATTCTCTCTCTGGTTGATGAAAGTAAAACTAATACTTGTATGTCTGCAAGATACCTGTATGGCTGCAGGATACCTGTATGGCTGCACGATATCACATCGCAATTATATGGCGCATGCATAATAATCTCCAGGCCATTAGATGACAGGCGTAAACATTCGTCCGGACGCTGGCTTTTTTGTACTGGCGGTACTTTTTGCTGGTTAAAGTCTGACACGTTTATTAAACATAAGGATATGCCAGATGAATACAGACCGCTAACTTTTGGGTCATAATACGCCTCTCGTGAACATTTTATGTGCACTACTAATCTGCTTCCCAAATTGTGGGCGTACGTAAACGCCCGTATAGTACCGGAATGCCGCGGTCTGGACTAATGTTTATGCCCGTCACTAAAGCCCTGGTGATTATAGCGCATGCGCCGTATAATTGCGATGTGATGATATGCAGCCGTAGCTCCCTACTATGTTAACTGCAGATGCAGTTTCATTTCCAGACAACACAGAACCTCAGAGAGGTTCCATTGTTCACACAGTATAAATTAGTGCTTTCAAAGGATGTTTAAGGTTATTTTGTCATTAGTCTATAATTGTGTGCTTGTGTTTTGTGTGTCTGAAGGTTATTTTTGTGAATGTCTTAGTGCACATGTACCCCCTGCTCCCCAGCCCCCCAGGTTACAGGTTAAAATATAATTATGGCGCCTTAAGGAGAACCAAAATAATTTCTTTTCTCTCGTTTACAGTATAATCAATGGTTTTGCCTTACCACTCAAAGAGGAGCACAAGATTTTTCTGTTAAAAGTCCTGTTGCCGTTGCACAAAGTCAAGTCACTCAGTGTCTACCATCCGCAGGTATGTTCTCCTTAGTCATTAATGACTCAGCAGTCGCTCAAAACCTTTAGGGACGGCTTCAGCTTTCATTCGTAAGATAAAATTAGTTTTTTTTTTAACAGAAGAAAGTATTTCTAGGGATTGATTCAAGTTTTTTTCCATTGTACCTGTACTTAATCACCATTGCTGTATTTGTTGCATTTTAGCTGTTATTAATAATTACTGCAAGTTTCATGTGTCATTGTAGCCCCAGTCGGACGCCCATAAGTGTTATTGACATACAGAGTAACGCAGCATTGTAATGTAAACACAGTGTATAACTGCATCCACACATCCACATGCTGCACAGGTTTCATACCATAAGCTGTGTCTGATATAAATACCCAGGTGACTGAGTGCTGTGCCTGTGACAGTCTGTTGTCTTGCAGTGAGGCTTCTCTGACGGTGCTTCTGTGAACAGGGTTCTTTTAAAAAAAAAAAAAATTAAATCCCTAGTAATCTCTGTGTAGCATTATGAGCCCTTGGCAGGCTGTGTTATTCTCTGTGTCACTGTGTTCTCTGTTTGGCTTGACCCCACTCGCCATCGCGTCCCTTGCAGCTGGCGTACTGTGTAGTGCAGTTCCTTGAGAAGGACAGCACACTCACTGAACCAGTAAGTTCTCTGTCACCTGCTGTTCTCTCATAGTTTCCTTTGTATGTTTCAGTTTTTAGTGCTTATCGAGGTTTTAGCAAGTTCAGCTTGAATGAAGCGATAGTCCTTCAGATGGTCTGACGGCCATGCTTCTTAACTGCTGCCCAGTGGTCACCTTCTTGTGAGTGTGTGGCTCAGGGGGCTGAGCCTCTGTGCCTGTGATCAGAAGGTCGCCGGTTTCAGCCCGACCTCAGCACGTCTGTAGGTCCTTGAGCAAGGCCCTTAACCCCCAGCTCCCTGGGTGCTGCTATGGGAGGCTGCCCTTCATGGCCAGCTTGTTCTCAGGGAGAGAAAGCAAACTGGGGGAGGTGTAAAGAGAATTTACCCATGGGGGTCAGTAAAATACTAATAATTGTTATTAATATTATTGGTAATAATAATTGTTATTGTTATTATAGGAGATGCATACTAATAATTTTGTCCTAGGTGTACTTAAATTATATGTGTCAGATGAGGTCATGTTTGTGCACCACTGACTTGAGTGTTGGAAATGCCCACATCCATTTCTGTTTCTAGCTGCAGTCCTGCATGTCCGCTAATCAGTGTTGCTGATCTGTAGGTTGTCATGGCTCTTCTGAAGTACTGGCCAAAGACCCACAGCCCAAAGGAAGTGATGTTTCTCAACGAGCTGGAAGAGATCTTGGATGTGATCGAGCCCTCAGAGTTTGTGAAGGTCATGGAGCCTCTTTTTCGCCAGCTGGCCAAGTGTGTCTCAAGTCCGCACTTTCAGGTGACCTGAAGTTTAGTTGATTTATTTGTTTCTTCAGGCAGACCAGATGTTTGGGGGATTTGTTTGATATAGCCTGATCTGGTAATGGTGACTGAGCAGTGCCCCCTTCAGGTTGCAGAGCGAGCCCTGTATTACTGGAACAACGAATACATCATGAGCCTGATCAGCGACAATGCGGCCAAGATCCTCCCCATTATGTTCCCGGCTCTGTACCGCAACTCCAAGACCCACTGGAACAAGTACGATCAGCTTCATGTCATTTGATAGGACTGCAAAGGAACAAGATAGAATGAGTATGAAGAACACGCAGGCAATCACAGGGCGGTCATCAGCTAAAGCTATTTTATTACCAAACCACATAGTCCCACATTTATGTTTCCTGCCCTTTGTTTCATTCTGAGATACCAGCATTGCCGGCTCACTTGTGTTTTTTACAGGACCATCCATGGGCTGATCTATAATGCCCTGAAGCTCTTCATGGAGATGAACCAGAAACTGTTTGATGATTGTACCCAACAGTACAGGGCAGAGAAGAATAAGTAAGCTGGCTCTGTGCACACTGCACCTGTCCCTCTGTGTGATGTGCACAGTGAGAATGAGTGACCCCAGGCTTTGCATTAAGTGGAAAAGGGGACCTGGCATTTTCACAGGGGAACGGGAAACTGAAAATTCCAAACGGCACTCTGGAATCAGCCCTAGCAGAACTTGAACTGTACGTTTGTTTAGCTGTGCACTATTCAGTGTTTCTGCATCATGGCAGATCATTTGGGCTTGTGTTTCGCCTGTATGTACTGCATTCATGTGATAAGAAAATTGTATGAGTTTATAAAGAGGTTGCGAACACACCGGTCACTAGTGTTACCCGAAACTTTGCTGTTTATCGTCACTTGCATTGTTTTCTAGAGAAAAGGCTAAATCGAAAGAGAGGGAGGAGGCCTGGCTGAAGATTGAAAACCTGGCAAAATCGAACCCACAGGTAAGAGGAGCTGCAGCTGTTCCTGTACATGCAGCTTGGCTCAATGTGCTTCGATGGAAGAGTGTTTGTAAAACGTTTGTTCACCACACATCACAACAGCTGTAATAGTGGACTAGCCAATATTAAAAGATCTTTTTGAGAATTTAACTTGTGGTATTTGTCATTACTTTCCTCTTTGTCTAAGTTCATGCATCATCATACTCTGGTCATGTGACCTGCTGTGTCCTCGGAGAGTGGCTTGGGTAATCGAGGTGTGCCACCGCCTTGGCATTCTGCCCAGCAGCATGTTTCAGTCTGACTGCTTTTTTCATCCTTGGTTCCAGTTTTAATGTGCCCTCCTGGTGGCAGGCTTCCATTACAGTGTATTATAGTCATAATGGATGTGCAGTTACAATAGTGTAAGCAATTGTTTTTGTTTGCTGAGTAATTGCCTTTTGTGGGTTTTTTTTTTTTGCTTTGTTTTTAAACACTAGTTCCTTGTGTATGCTGATTCCTCTGGCCTCAATAGTCCAGTAGATATGGAAACAGATGGTCCATTGATAGAAGATGTTCACATGTTAAGACAGACTGTAGAGGAAGAAGCGACTCAGGTAATCCGGGGTTTTGTCTGCATCCTCCTGCCTTTGGTATTTTAAACTGACAATCCAGTGACAGAAAGGGAATCGGCAGTAGTCAGTTTGTGCACATGCACTTGAGTTTAAATTCCTTTCCACTGTTTCCATAGTTGTCTGGATGCCTAATAATTTGTGTTGCTATGTATCTCAATAGGCTGGCTACAAACTGCTTTGTAGCCAAATGTTATGGCTATAAATTTTAAGTCATCTTGGGAGAGACCACAGTTAATGATTTAACAAACATGGTTTAAAATTGCCTGGGAATTAATATATCAGGAATTTATATTATAGATTCTTACCATAAACACCAGAAAATCTGGAAGGAACTTCATTCTCCGCCTATTCCCAGTTGGCCACAAAAGACACTGTAAATTTCTTACATGTGTCAATGTAAATTGCACTTTGGACCATCGTAATATAAACTTTTACAATGAATATATGCCCTAACTGCAGTGTGTTCTCATGTAAACTATTACTGTATGGAGGGATTAGTTATGCCAGTTTTGCCTGGCACTGTAGCCTTTTGTTTGTGTAAGGCAGTGCATGTAGGAGTGGGCGATATTGCAATCCATGATACAAGTCACGACTTTCTTTGTGTTTGTTTATAAAGCAGCCAAATTGTGATGTGTAGTAATTAACCATTTAAAAACCACTTAACCAGCAGCTCTATCCTTACAAGAAACACTGCTTGTAGCATTATAATAATCGGCTTAATTATTATGGTATGTAAAACACTGTACATACCATACAAACTGACGCTGAGCAAAATGCTTGTCAATTGATTTAACACTAAAGTTTCAAGAGTTGACTACTAATGAACATGTATCACTTTGGTCAATATCTGTATTTGTTGTAAATGGAGTTCAGAAGTACGCAAACAAATAGGTTAAAAAATAAAATTTGTGTTGCCACCTGTCCTTCAAACAGTATCTTTGCAAAGTGTGCAGATTGCAGTAGATTGTTCCATGACGGATTCCATCAATCTTAATCATTTTGGCACAATAGAAATAGACCCAATGGAACCAATTCTTCCACAACAGCCAGGCTACACATGCTGTTTATTCCATAGCATAGCTGACCCATCTGTGGGACGTGTTTTGTTTACTGCACGACATGAACAATATTTGTAGCAGTTTGATTATATGTGTTTTTTTTTATTATTTAAAACCTTTTCAATTGAGACCCACTGAAACGGGTAACGGACAAAGAAGTGAGACACATAGACAGGGCTGAGATGTTATGGAGGCTGAAATTGCCTTGATTCACTTTCGTCTGTTTTGGTTGTTCTGTTACTGTGTTACAGGCTCTGAACACGCAGGCAGGCATCGCGTGATTAAGTGCTTGCTGGTTTGTGATAATAGCATTAAGTCGAACACTTAAGTGAGCATTCATTGGAAGCTCAGCCTAGCCGCACTCACGCTTAGTGAAACTGCTCCACTGCATGTATGTTTGTAATGTGCCGTTTTCATTGGCTGGATTCACTTTGGACAAAAGCATCTGCTAAGTACCAGTAAATATAGTGCTATATTGCGACTCTCGCAGTAACTCAAACGCTGATCATGGATACTTATGCTAAAGTTGCGCTGTAGTTGTAAAGACTTGCTATGTAGTATAGTGCTTGGTGGAGTACTGAGATTTGGTGATATGGTCATAAGTTATACCTCAACAGATACATAGAAAAACTCAGGATGATCTATATATTGCCTATGTTTTCAGCCTGTGATAACCTGTGTATGTAGGAACTGCCCACTTTGAATTAAATTTGGATATATGTACTGTGTCAGAGTGAGATGTATTAACTTTTGGGTTTCTGATCTCTTCATTTCATATCTCTTGATGTCTTGGCAAGTGAGAATATGAGCAGGTGGCTCTTATCTGGGTCAGCATGACCAATATTTGCCCGCTATGCATGTAGGGCAGGCAGTCATGCACGTGCCCGCTCATATGGTCAACCATGTCTTATGATTTTACTCATTGTTCTGACCACTCGCTATATAAAAGCCACATGATTTATTGTCAGACTGGAAAGCAGGATAATTGTGATCAGTGCTCTGATTTATTTAGTGTTTGTCCTCCATACAATCAGGAGACAATCAGGAGTCTCTCTTTAAATTGCAGGCATGTTTTTTGCAGCGCAGAAAGACTGGGGGTATGTGTCCCCAAAGCCTTGATGACTGTTCCCCAGAACAATATCAGCTGGACTTGTGGAAGTCTGATATTGGAACTATATGTTCTGAAATGTTGCTTTGAAAACTGTCAGATGATGTATGTTTCACATCTGAGCTTCTGTGTAAATGTGTGGCAGAAATTTGGCTCTAACGCAGCCATCCTATCCATCCTCCCCCCCAGCTGCAGAGGGACCAGTACCTGGAGCGGCCCCTAATGCGGCGCAAGTCTGAGCTGCCTCAAGATATCTACACCGTCAAAGCCTTGGAGACCCACCGCCGCGCTGAGGACATGTTCACCCCTCACGATGGGCGCTAGGCCCCTCCCTGCCATCTGGATCAGCTGCAACACTGACACAGGACCAGCTGGGTGTGTCCCGAGGATGCCACCTTCCATGGACCCACCCCTTCGTGGGCCAGCCCCGCCCCCTCGTGGGCCAGCCCCGCCCCCTACTCCAATCAAGCTTTCTCGCTCTGCTTTCTCAGGTGTTCTGTTAGGATGTTTTTTTTTTCTCCCCCCACCCTCCCTATGACTTATTTGCCCCCTTGATTTTTTATTTTTATTTTCATTATTTATTTTTTTTGTGCCTGATCTTGCCATTACACAAGAGATGACCTGTTGGTGGAGAGCCCAGTTTAGTGCAGCATGTGGCATGGGAAACAGCTGAGCTGTTTGGTTTTCTCATTCTCTCCTTCTCACATTGAGAACTGGCCAAGAGCTGCTGTTGTGGGACCTGCCGCTCCTTCGCACTTGCAGCCCAAGGAAAGCAGTCTTTGTGAAGAGCTGTGTGTTATTTCCAATACATGTTTTAATACTTTGAGTTTTCTACTGGGGATATTCAGCTCTTTTCGCCTTCAGATCCGAATAGGAATCTTTTCCTTTAGAGAGTCTGTCTGGACCTCCGGCCCGTCCAGCAGCAGTCCGTTCTGCAAACTCACAGAGCCCCCGTTTCACTCCCTGTATTCAGTTTGATTTGTGCCATGATGTTTTTTTTAACTTTCCATTCATGCATTTGTGCAGCTTCGCTCTGAACTGATGTACATGTTGGTGGTTCAAACAATGGTGCATTTCTGTAGCAGGGAGCGAGAGTTTGGGGCTTGTTGGTGAAATGTTACATGTCTGTATAAATGTCAATATTTTTTGTATAAAGTGTATTTTTTTTTTCTTTTACATTTTAGCAACAAGCTCTTATTTTATTTATTGTATTTTTAAATTCCTTTATACTGCAGCTCTGGTGGCCTTGCAGATTGGTGTCTGACTAGAGGGGAGGCATTTAATGAGCTTAGTCATTTGCGGAAATCTGTGCCATGCGCAGCTGGATACCTGCAAGGCTGAGTGTCATCAGTCTCAATATTAACGGGGCTAATGGATGAAAATGTTTGAATCTTTAACCTTTCTGGTGTCTGGGACCCATTCTGGAGTGGTGATGTTTTATTAAATCTCATTTCCTGTGTGGCAACTAGAAAACTGTAACCTGCCACTCAGCCCCCAGTCTATATATTTCTCTTATTCAGTTAGCAGCCAATGTGACTGAGGTAGTGAGCAGGTTGGGGGTGGGGGGGTGGGGGCGCTATTTGGGAGCCACTGGGAGTAACTGGTGGCTGACATACCCCCTTTGCTCCCAAGCGGCCATCTGAGCTGCAAGTCATGACTTCAGGAATGTTCCAGCTGCCCTGTTCCACCTACACTGAGGCAGAGTTCTTTTTGTGTGCCTTTAGGACTGAGAGATTACGGAATGGTAATGGACGAAATAAAGCTAAACCTTTTACCTTTCTTTTTAAATTTGACCATACAATTGCACATGTTAAAATCAGCTCAAGCCTGATTTGTGACAATTTACAAAAGGTTGAACTTGCGAAGAGCCTGTCGAATTAACTAGAGAGCACTTCCTGTAAAACTTGAACCGCCGTCTTTATTCTCGTGCCCTATAGCTGGCTCAGTCGTCTGTCCGCCGTTTGTCCTGTCTGACTGATTTTGTAAATGACACCATCCTCTTCCAGACTGTTCTGGATGATAAAGGGTGCTCCACCTCCCCGTCTCAGTTTTCTGAGTGATAATGTTTCTTCGCCATTGTTTGAACCTCCATCAGTGTTACTCCCCCCCCCCTCCCCCCCGGTAGGGCTTTGTTGGCTGTGGACTGGGTCTGTGTGTGTTGTGCACACAGTGACCTCCAGGGGTCGCCTCCAGTCACTCAGCCTGCGTTGTGGCTGCGGAGTTCAACATGCTAACTGTAAAGTGTACCGCTTACAAACATGTCCAGTGAGATTGATTTCAAAAATCATTCTTTCCCTCTGCAGTGAATCGCTCTTATTAACGGTCAGGGCTGCATTTTCATACTGGACAGCATTCTTTTTTTTCTGTATTGCTGCAATTTCAAAAAGACTACATGGGAAGAGCAGAAGATCATATGGCGTCACACTGGCACCTATGGGCCACATTTTACATGCATTTTCCAAACTTCGGTAACATGACAAGTGTCCTTTAGTATGCATCATTTACTAAATGGCGTCATCTAATATTGTACATATAATGTACTTTGTTTTATGTAGTGTTATCTATTAAACAGTAAATATCATTTTGTACAAAATTGTCCTTTGTACAGAATAAAACAATGGCAGAACTTCAAACAGTGACTATGTTACACTTTTGAAAGAAAAGAAAAGGAAGAAGCTAATATATACTGCTTAAAATGTAAATAGGATATTGGTGATTGGATATTGCTTTAGGATTTATTACTATTTCCTAAGCTGTGACAGCAGTGAAAGTGATTAGTTGTCATTATTCACACACCACAGTGCACCACAAAATGCATCCTCTGCATTTAACCTACGTGACATAGTGGAGACCAGCTAATTTAGCACTTAGGAGCAGGAGCTTGCTCACAATACCTCAGTGGTACTTTGTTGGTTGGGAATTCTGAGCATCTTGGAATCCTATCCTGTATAACACTAAATCCCATTTCAGGGGACCTTGTGAAAAATACATCTTGGAAATTGGATTGAATTCTAACACATATATGTGTTAGCACAAGGCTTTAAAATGCTAGATGCACAAGATCAGTTGTGGTGCTTCTTCCAGATCTATATGATAGCTAGTTTCCATAGTGTAGTAGTTATGTTTGCCTTACAAGCAAAAAGTCCTTGGTTTGAAGCCGAATGGAAACATGGCTGCTTTTCCCAACCAAGCAGTGATGACCTAAGGGTTAGGGAAGCGCACTTGTAACTCTGAATATTACTTTGGCAAAATCTTTTGTGCTTTAAGATGCCATTTCAAATGTTATTCAAAGTAATATTCAGTCTTACCATCAAAGTGAAATTTCAGCACAGATCTACATAGAAATTTACACGTGTGTGTAATTTTATTTATATATATATATATATATATATATATATATATATATATGTTTGTGTATAGTGTGTGTGTGTGTGTGTGTGTGTTTGTGTATCAGGCCAGAATGCACATGAATCATCCTGAATCCTAGGTTCAACCAGGTTCATTGGACAGAATCTTCTATCCAGTACCCTGTAGTTTTTTCCATTACAGAAGCCTCTGATCACTCCATGGATGTTCAGCATTTTCCCATGCCAGTTGAAGACAGCCTCAGCAAGGTCCTGTCTCCCCCTCCTTGGGTGTCCTGGGGCCACCTGATCTCTGTTCCCATGACCTCTTCAAACTTATCACATGTGAGCTTTCACTTAGGTAACTTCCTTCACTGGCCTGTTAGCACCTTTGTCTCAGGAGACCTATGTATTACATCAATTAAAAGCTAGGGGGGGAAAGCAAATTACATAAAACAAATAAAATGATCAAACAAACATTACACTTACAAAAAAAAAATCAATAAAACACACAGCACATTTATCTAAAAAGCTAAGCAAATAAATATGTTTTTAGCCTCGACTTAAGACATTCAATGGTTGGGGCAGATAGGACATGGAGAGGGAGTTTGTTCCACAACATGGGCCTGGCTTCTGAGAAAGTGTGGTGGCCCTCCCTCAAACGGCCGGTTGGTGTGGAGAGTAGCAGAAGATCAAATGACCTTTGGGCTCTCTGTGGCCAGTCCGGATGTATGAGATCACTGATATGAGCTGAACCCTCAGATCTAAAGGCATGAGGTAACTGTGCCACACTGTCTTCATCCATCCATACATTTTCCAACCAGCTTATTCTACTGGGTTGCGGGGGGTCCGGAGCCTATCCCGGAAGCAATGGGCACGAGGCAGGGAACAACCCTGGACAGGGAGCCAGCCCTTCGCAGGGCACAACCACACACCATTCACTCACACACATGCACACCTATGGGCAATTTATTAACCTCAATCAGCCTCAGTATGTCTTTGGACTGTGGAGGGAAACCGGAGTGACTGTCTTCGTCATTATAATTATTATTATTTACAGGTACAATGACAAAACTGAGTGGTGATATGTGTAAACATGATGGTGAATAAAGACAAAAAAGGTCGAAACAGACAAAGACGACCAAGTATATAAATCGTGGCGATCCAAGAATGGAATATCTATGTTTTACTGCACTCTTGAATACCGAACTGGAGCCGACCAATCGGGCATGAAGGTTGTTCCATGGTTTCAATCAGGTAGTGCTTATGTGTATAACAGAACATGGACGGTGCCCGCTTTATTTTCGTTTCGAAAGCATAAGTAACAATGTCTGGTCGAGGAAAGGGAGGTAAGGGACTCGGAAAGGGTGGCGCTAAGCGCCATCGTAAAGTCCTTCGCGACAACATCCAGGGTATTACCAAGCCGGCTATTCGTCGTCTTGCCCGCCGAGGTGGCGTCAAACGTATCTCCGGTCTGATCTACGAAGAAACCCGTGGCGTGCTGAAGGTGTTTCTGGAGAACGTCATTCGCGGCGCCGTTGCCTACACCGAGCACGCCAAGAGGAAG